TGTTGTGTAGTTTATTTTTTGTTTTTAAATTGCTGCTCCACCTCCCCTCCCCCCCCCCCCCCCCCCCCCGCCAAGTCCCAATTGAATGCTGTCCTTTATTAAGAGTTGCTGTGGTCTGTTCACAGCAGTAAACCCTAAGACAATCCCCAAACTAGAAATGACCCAAATGTCTATATGGTGATTCTTTTCAAAAAGTGAAGTCTGGTGGGGACTGGAGCTCAGGTAGTAGCGTGCTTATCTAATGTATACAAAGCCCTGGTTTTGATCCCAGAAACACATAAAGCCAGGTATGGTGATACATATCTAGGATCCGAGCAGTCAGGAGTCAGAAACAAGAAGATCAGAAGTTCAAGGTCATCCTTAGTTGCACAGAAAGCTTAAGTCCGGCCTGAGCTCCATAAGACCCTGTCTTAAACAAATCAGAAAGTGTTCCATCTACGTATGTAGCATCTAGTGCTGCTTAACAATGAAAATGAACGGATTAATGACAACTGTAGACTCGTGGATGAGTCCCAGATTAACTCTGTTGAATAAAACCTGCCAGACAAAAGTATGGGTACATATGACTGCATTTACAGGAAATTTCTGCAAATGTAAATGGAGCGACTGCAGGAAAAACAGATGGGAGCTTACCTGGGGAAGGAGAGGGAAGGAGTACCGAAGCCAGACGGGAACTTTTGAGAGCAATGAATATGCTCATTATCTTTTTTTTTTGGCTTTTCTCTCCACCCCTCCCTTTCTGCAGAGATCACAACTATGGCCTATGCATGCTAGGCAAGCACTCTACCACTGAGCCATGCCTGCAGCCCATTCATTATCTTGCCGGGCGGTAGTGATATCATCAGTGTGTTCATATGCCAAACTTATCATGTTGTACACTTTAAATATATGCTGTTTATGACATGTCAATTAAACCTCAGCAAAATATAAATGTACAACACGGCTCTACTTAGCAGACTTTGTAATTACTAAAAAGTTCAACAACAGGTGAGACAGGGTGCCTAGGTGTGCATCTGCCAAAATATTGATGATCCCTTGGCCCTTAGGACGCAAGATAGGAACCACCGCCAGCTGTCTTTAGATGCAAGATTCTGCCACGCACTCCGGGGTTGGTGCCTTCTGCTTCTGAAGTCACGACATGAAAAGAGCTGAGACAAGGTTGGTCTGTCATGTGGCTCTCAAACTGTAGTTAGAAAGACAGGAGCTGTTCACAGCTCAATGCTCACATGTTCTCCTTAGGTTCAGAGATAATTGGTCTGTGACAGGGTAATGGTATTTCCTAGGAGATCCTAGGGCCTGTGTGTCTGTGGCTGAGGGTGCGGAGCTGTCACTTCTAACAGCATTCCGGAAGCTCACTGTCACACAAAAGTATCAGATAGTATTCATTCTATAGGGCAGCTTCACCAAAAAGGTAACACGCCCATGCAACATGCTTATTCCTCATGACCAAAAAGTTGAAAACAACAGAAAGGTTCAGATAGATCCTGTGTGTCTTTGTTTGGGTTTTGTTGCCTCTTGTGTCTCTGTAACTCAGGCAGGTGAACTGTGTAGCTGAAAATGACCTTCAACTCCTGGGTTTCCTGCCTTTACCTCGCAAGTGCTGGGATTACAGGTATGTGCCACCACATCTAGGTGAGTCTAGTCATGTGTGTGTGTGGTATGTGGGGGCGGGGGGAGGATTGGTATATGTATATGAGAATGTAAGTGGTGTGTGTGGTGTGAT